TAAATGTGTTTGTCAGTCTTTATAGACAAGTGCTTAAAATAGTGTTAGAAGTGTTATTTAGGTGTCCATTATGAATTAATTTGTTTATATTCTTCATCGTTAAAACAAAAATAAAAAAAGTTAATAAGCAAAACCAAGATCAAAAGTTCACCCAAGAACAACAAAATTTAGGACAATTCAATGAAACCAGTGGACGAATATCATCAATGTTTCTAGATTTAGGTAATTCGGAAACTCCTACTTTGCAAGTGTTCTAATTGATTAGCAAATACAAAAGCAAAAACTCTAGTATACATAGTACGTATAAAATAATTGATCCCCAATACTTACTCCAATTCTTCCACAATAAGCATCGGGGTTAAGGTTTAACTACAAAGATATTAATGCAAAAAGAAGAAAATAACAAATCCGAAATTACTTTCATACCCAATACCTAGTCCGATTCCTCGAAATGGACTTTTCGATGAGGGTGCCTCTCAAAAGTATGCTGGGTACACCACTCGTTTGCTTCTAAAGACGTGGCTGCACAAGCACCCAAAGAAAATGTGTTAACATCCTCTAATTTACCGATCTCAAGCCCGTGTAATCCACTTAAGTTCCTAGTGTCATGCTTTAAGGCATCCGGTGACTTGGTCACAAATAATATGTTCTCTTAATCACCCTATCATTTTTGTAGCATTATAAGTTTGCAAGTACATTTAGAAATTCTCACTGATTTGTATCCCAAATTTCTTGCTTAGATGCTATCATCTGTTGGGTAGTCATCAACTTCAAAACTCCCATGTGTAAAAGTTGTTTGACAAAGGTACTATCTTGGGCCATAATTTAGTCTCATGTTACAAATTATGAATAAAAATTTAGAATGAAGAGAGCCCAAACACACACCAAATTAATTTATTGGGTAGAGCCCCAATAAAAGAAGTGTTGTCGTGTCTTTACCAAAACCAATAGCTTCATAAATCATAGTAATGTGGGTAGAATTTATTGGGGTTCAAGTTAAATATCACTTCGCAGCTCGCAGCATATATATTATTTCATGGGCTTGAAACAAACTAACATGGTGTTTTTTGTGTTGCAATGAAACAATTTTACATGTTTTTTAGGGCAATCAAATAAATTCTATTGAAGAATCAATTTCCGAGTCAAAGTGTACACAATAAACATTTGAAATTTGATCCTCTCCATTTGGACTTATCACATTTAAACTCCAATCTAGTTCATATAATTAGTTTGAAGTCATATCCAACTCTTATGAGATCTATTTGAATGAGAGGTGGATGATCAGATGGAGCTTAATGCGGAAGTAAAACAAAATATAGATATCCTAGTCGTTCGTTTTCCTTCTATTAATTTCTCTAAATGTCCTATAGGGTTGATTTTTTTTTCTCTTTATGGAAGCCATACCAGTGCTAAAAACTTTCCAAAGACTAACTACTCCATGAGTGTCACTCAGTATATCATGTGTACTTAATATAGCTTTTGATGGATTTAGCCATTTGATTGTAATCATCATTTCTCTATTACAACAAATAGATGGCTTTAGAAGAATGTGCTGAAATATTGAAGTGTGCAATTTGAATGCTAAAATTGTGTTGGAATCAACTTTTTTCCAAAGATAAGGGAATTAAATTTACCTATCCTCTTGCAACAGCTTACTCAGAAGCTCCATATTTATATGATTATGTTGTTCATCTTGACATGGAGCAACTGACCGTTCAAAACCAGCTCTCCAGATGCTACAGTAGCTGTTGTTGTTTACAAGTTAACAAATGGAAAAATCTTCACTTGAACAATATCAAATACCCAATTATTTAAGGACTTGTTCAAATTGTATCAGAATAACACAATTGGATAGTTCAGACACTTTCTGTGGAACATTGCATAGATGAAGTCCAAATTAAACACTTTATTGCAGTTGATAAAAGATATGTACCATAAAATTTGCGAAATATATTGCTATCACAAACTTAACCTCTTGCAAGGAAAGATAAAAACCATCCAAAACAAAGAATGAGTCCAACACTGGCCATACTTTGTGCACAGGCCATTAAAACAGGGCCACGCAAAATTGCTCAAAGGCAGCTTTGTTTTTTCTTTGTTTTTTTATTTTTTTATTAAAAAAAGGAACATTTGTAATAATTTTTTTTTTGGTCAGACACTTTTACTGGGGAGAGGGATAACGAGGTTTGAATCTGCAATCTTAAAATTCAACAACAGGGGCAATGACCATTAGGCCAACCGCTAACCTCTTTGCTTTTTCTTAAGCTCTTATCATTTTTTAGAATTGTAGAATCTAGAGATAAATGATTTTATCGAACTTCCCTTGGATCCCATATTACATGTTGCATTGCCTCCTTTATTTTGGCCTCAAGTTGTCTCTAACATCCAAGGCTTTAGTGATTCTCCCTTTTCACCGTATCCCAACACATGTCCCATTGTTAATCAGTGAAGCAAATTAATAGCAAGATACAAGCTAGACCAAATATAATAATGACGGAATTAGAAGCTAGGCAACTAATAGAAGCACCCAAGAAAATGGAAACATGATTAATTGACATTTCCACGGAGGTGTTTGTAAGCCAGAACTCTTGTATTTAGTATAAACATTCAAAATATATTTATGCATTTTAGATGCATTTCAAGTGGTCCTTTCAAGATTTAGCATTACACAATGCATTGTTAACAGTAAGTCTTGAATTATTTGAAAATTGGAAATTAGGGATTGGTGAAATAATCATAATGATGAATGCTTAATGAATCATCTTGAAGGCTTATTTTTGTAATCTTAATTGCCTAGGTATTAAAAGTACTCACTCTATAGAAGCCTAACATAATGAAGCTAAGGCTGATCACCTTTCTCTAGTGCATAGAAGCATCATAATGGAGCATACATTGATACCATGGTTGTAATATTGGGGAAAATAAGCACAGGCCACAGGCCAGACTTTCCTGGTCATGAATTTTGAGCTCCATTTTTGGCCACCAGACCCAATTGGTAATTCTTTGGAGTCTGCCTTGAATCCGGCTCCAAATTGCTCCTATCACCCTCGTTTTTCAAAGTATCACATCTTATTTTTATTTGCAATTTCATCTTCATAACCTAGTTTGGATTCGTACCAATGGGTGCTACCACCTTGCTTTTCTTCAAATTGGTATTTATGAGCTTAATCCCAATTGTTCTTTTCTTAGACTCATTTAGAAGTCAAGAAACAACAGATACACTTTCAGATTTTTTAGGCATCCACAACCACCTGAAGGCAGGCTTCCTCGTTTCATGATGATGGGTCTATGCATAATTCACTGCAAAGGTTAATTTTTGTAGTAGTAATTAACTTATCTCTTTAATTATATAAATTTAAAAGAATGATGATGGATCTCTTAATTAGATAATTTTTATAGTAGTAATCAATCTTTTAAATAGTATTTCATAATACCTTTTTAGTGAAATTCATTGAAGATAACATATTTGCGACATCATAAAACCGCCTAAATTTAGCCTTAAGAGTTATTTTATGAGGAGAATGTTAACAAAAGAGTTCATGCATCTTTTTTCTACCAATATTGGGGGATCATGTGCAGTGCACATAAAAACAATTCCGAAGTTTGATTGTTGACTTATTTGACATGGAAAAATAATTCTATAAAATTCACATATTTTTAATAAAATGAGCCATAACAGATTCATTCTAAGGAGAATTGATAAATACAATGAATAAGTTAGTATACTTGAAAAATGAGTCATCGAAGATGACCTTTGGGCCCATAGTCAATTCAACGCATCAGCTAGCTCTATAACACCCACAAGCATCAAAACCCAGGCCTTCACTTCACATCTAATTTGGTAGCATAGTTTCTGATCCAACTCAACCTACTGTCAATCTACTTCAATCTGCCTATTAATCAAAATCCTATATTATAGATTGTAACAAATTAGAGGTCAAAGAGACAAACATATACTGAACAAACTACAAATTTAGCACATTCAAGTTTTATTTCTCTAGCTTGTTACACAAAACCCTTTAATGAGGGATAGGGGAAATTGGTACTTGCTTTCTTGAATTAAATAATGCTCCATTTCTGAAGTGATCCATGGCTTATGATATACCACATTACAATCTCAACAATTTATGGGTAAATTATAGCAGTATATGGCAACGGCTTGACGGTTAAATAAAAATGGAGTTCGACTCTATCCAAGTTACAATAATCAAACCAATGTAACATCAATTCATCATTGCTCAATGCACTAATGCATATAAAAAAATACAAGCAAATCTAATGTAAGAAAAAATGCTACATGGACAAGTTGATCAAATATAATTGGTAACCAGAACATACTGTCATCTAATCAGGAAATCGAAGAGTGAACCAAATAACTCATTACTATAAAACCAATTAGACACCTTTAAAATCAAATAAAGATAGCCCAAAATGGAATATACCCCACACCAGCCCTATCTTGCTGCACATATGTTGGGCATGTGTGGATGTCCAAAAAAGATAGACATAAATTTGATTCGTTATTTTTGAAACCAAACTCGTGCACAATAGTTTTTTAATGATCGAATCATATGTATGTGGCTGATTGAAATTTGAAACAATCAAACACCCAGGGTCAATTCTGCAAGTAATAAATGTTTTGAAAATGAATAAACTACATTTGCACATCCAAACGCGCTCATTCACTAATTAGATTGTCCAGAATGTCAGATATTACAAAACCTTAAATTTCATGATCTAGACAACTAAATAAATGTAAATCACTATATGTATGTATGTATATATATATATATACACATACATATATAAGAGATTGAGATATCTAGGGTTTGAGATCTTATTAATCAATTTACAATTCCATGGTGTCTTCCAAATCTAATGTGAGATGTGATACCGTTGATGCTTTCCCTGACCGTTCCTTGGCCAACTAATAGAAAAACATCAAATTCAAACATATAAATTGATTAAATACAATTCACCTTGAACCTTATACTGCTAGCATGAATGTTTCTCAATTTGTTTGCTAATCCGACAAAGAAAATGCAATGCACACAAGCAATAAGAAAGACAAATATGCAAATAACGAAAGGGGGAAGTTGGAAGACATGAATTTGGAAGCTAGAAGCGGGAAGCTGGAAGGCATGCAAATATGGAAGCTGGAAGGTATGAGTGACTCTCAGTGCTGACATTAATTGTAACAATTAAGATGAAATGAATTGGATGTATTCACTTTGGATGAGCGACTCTCGGTAAACCTTTACTCAAGAAAAAGAAACGTATAAGCAGTCTGTAAGAAAGTAATATATAAGTGGCATTAATTGTTTTTATAGGGTTATTTTTTCAAATAAAAGTTTTTCACTCATCCTCACTTTTTATAGTAGTAAAGATTAGTTAGAATACAAATTCATATTTTTAGTAAATTTCATTTAATTTGGGATTTTGTGGCCATTATGGGAAGTTGGGAACGATTAGGATTTTGGCTGTTCATATATATATATATTGCCATATGTATTACGAATTAGTGAGTCAATAATACAATATTTTGAAAGTTTCTCTTCCTTTCTCTATGGATTCAAAATGTTTGTTCTTACACTTAGAAACAATTATTTATTTGTGTCTTCCGTTTACCATTGTCAGATTCAATAATAATGAATAATCAGTTAGAGTTGTGTAACAAAAATGCTCAAATCTATCCCTATTTTTGTAGCCTTGACATCTTGGCTGCCTCCAAACACCCATTCTTCTCTTTTCTTGTATTCGATTTATGTTCAATTGTTTTAAGTTGGGGAAAGAATTGAACACTGGTGAAAATCTACCATGTAGAGAAGTGGCATTCTTTTTTTCTTTTCCTGGGACAGGGATAGGAATGTGTTCATCACATCCCCATATCTCTTGTTGAATTTCTGTGTAATTAAGTTTGAAGTAAGTTATTGTCTTGAAAAGCAATAAGTTCTCTAAACTTTTCCTTATGATCTTTAGGTTTAGTATTTTTTCATTTTGTTTTCTATTTTTATCATTAGTGTATCCCAAGGGGATCAGGTGTTTTATGAGTTGAGTAGTCTCTCTTTTCATATCAAATGGGCATATTTGCTAACGAGATAATTTCCTGGTGACACACCTCTATTTTCTGGTTAATCTGATATAAACATCATGTTATCATTTGCATTTTAACTCTCTCAGTTCTGCATCCTCCTTTCCCTTTCGCCAACCAAAAAAAAAAAAATCATAAAGAAAATGTTCTACCATCCGCAAAGTTTCTTGTCGATTATATTCTTTTAATGGTCTGATCATCTGACCCTGTTATATGTGTAGGTAAATCCAATAAAATATACTGGCATTTCATCAGGTTTGTGTACTCTCTGGAAAGAAGAAGGCCCTTATGCTCTTTGGAGAGGTTGGTCCAGCAAATTATTTGGATACGGTGTTCAAGGCGGATGCAAATTTGGTCTATATGAATACTTTAAGAAGATTTACGCTGATTTGTTGGTAGATCAAAACAGGAGTATTATATTTTCCCTCAGCAGTGCTTCTGCTCAAGTATTTGCTGATGTGGCTCTGTGTCCATTTGAAGCTGTCAAAGTTCGTGTTCAAACTCAGCCTAATTTTGCGAAGGGCTTGCTCGATGGGCTTCCAAAATTATATGCTACTGAAGGGCTTCATGGGTAAGTCACCCAGAAACGTAATTATATCCCAAGTGTTTACTTCTTTTTTTATGTAAAACTTCAATTGTGGTGAAGTTGTGACCCATTTATGTTGCATTGCAGCTTTTACAAGGGACTCTGTCCACTTTGGGGTCGTAATCTTCCATGTAACATCTCTTCTTCACTGCATTCTACAAAATTTGCATATAATTGTGTTGATTATGACCTGGTTCATGTACTCTCTCTGATGGGTGGTTGCATTGGAAAGCATTGGTTGTGAACAGTATGGTTCAAGAGCTAGAATTTTGTGAGGAGAAACATACTGAAGATTTATATTACTTAACGGGTGTCTGATCTTCTAATGCCCAGCCTGTCACTGCCCAGCTTACTAGTTGGCAAGCATGATGTTGTCTGGCAAAATATGACTTGTGATACAATGTGTATCAATGTATAGCCATTTAGCTATTATTCTTTGGAAATGCTCTCTTCTGTAAATTTTTTCATTTTTTTTTCTTTGTTGCTGTGCATACTCTGTGTCCTCTCCTGCCTTCCGACTTTAATAGTATCTTCTGAGATGTCATTGAACTTGTTTACTTTGGCATAAATTTATCATGAAAAAGCTAAATAAAACCATTCCATTGCTTTAGATGGGAGTATCGGACATTGCTAAAAGTTGAAGCTTAATTTGTCACACAAATCCTGGTGTTGTATTGCCCTTGTTAATACCCTTGTAGCTGGCCCTTAACATTTTGAGCCTTTGTTTGTGCGTGCGATATGGTACTTGTGATATTCTGCTATCCTTAACCTTCGAGGATTGGCAATCTTACCAGTGCCTAGAATTGCAAGTTTTAAGTGCTTGTGTAGTTAACAGGTTTGACCACCAGTGGCATACCTCTCTCAAACAATCAGATATGAGCTTGACTAGCACTCTTGGCTTCACATAGTCAGGGCTAATCTTAATTTTTTGGCAGTCTCTATGGTGATGTTTTCAACATTTGAGCATTCAGTGGACCTGATATATCGCAATATCATTCAAAAAAGAAAGGAAGATTGCTCAAGAGCGCAGCAACTTGGCGTGACATGTTTAGGAGGGTATGCAGCTGGAGCTGTTGGTACCATAATCTCTAACCCTGCGGATAATATTGTTTCCTTCCTATACAACAAGAAGGCTGAGACTGTGCTGCAGGTAGTGCCTCTGAAACAAACTCTTCTTTGGTCCTTACCAAATAAATTAAATCGAGGGTCTTGTTTTAATTTTTGGCTAAATAAATCAAGAGTCTTGTTGATTGCGCATTATTTGGTGTTTGCAGGCTGTGAAAAATATTGGGCTTGTCAATTTGTTTACTAGGAGTCTTCCTGTTCGAATTACACTTGTGGGACCTGTGTGGACTCTGCAATGGTTTTTCTATGACACCATTAAAGTGCTAAATGG